TGGAATTGTTCTGGGGGCCGGACCAAATGCGGAGGCGGGCCGGATCCGGCCCGCGGGCCGTAGTTTGGGGACCCCTGTCCTACACCTTCACCAGCTCAGATAATGCCACCAGCTCCACCACTTTGACAGTCTCCTCCTGTCGCCCGTGCAATGCATCCAGGTCCTCCAGCAACAAACCGCCATCAATTGGGAAGTCCTCTACCAGGTAAATTACTAAGATGTTACACATAAAGTGAGCACATTTTGAGTGTGTATATAATCATATTTTAGTTGTTTTTTTATTTGTAAATGCAAGGCATTTTTGGATTTTATTAGTTAATAATATGACAGGATGAATGAGGCAAAATTACAATGTGCTTTACTGAATATATGTGTTTATCTATATAAAAATGTTATTTTTCAGATGACAACTATCAGAACACCAAGGCCTACGAGGATCTGAGGCTGATGATTTTGGAAAACCGGAGACTGTTGCAAGCGATTATGACCAGAATAACTCCCACTTCTTCTGCTGACGGTTTGGAGTCACTGAATGAGCTCTGCCTTCCAGCCTCTACTCCAGAGGAGTTGGAAGCTCTGAACAAACAGTTGGAGTCAGGAACTTTTAGAAAAAAATAGGTATGTATAATACTTTAAAAATTTAATTAGTCTTTCTCTTCACAGTAATCTTCTGTCAAGTGCAATACTGTGTAAATATTGACTTAAGTTCTTTGTGTTACTATTTTAGGTAAATGCCTTGGCTGTAATTGGAGGGAAGGATTTGAGGGCTACAGTTTACAACATATTGCCTAAGATCATCTTGGACAGTCTGGCACAGCAGTACAGCTTCCTAGGGCGGAAGGGAAAGAGAAGTTTGTCTGCTGACAAGCAGTTGCTGACTGTAATATTTAGTAAGTATAAGTCTGTGTACTTTTTATCCTCAAAATTTGTGCCACATTGGTTTTCAAGACATCCTGTGTGAAATATAGTTGATACTTGGTGACATAAGTGCTTTTCCTATTTTGTCTTGCACACCTCTCTCGTTATTATCTTCTTTTTTATTATTTGTATGCCTTTTTTAGGAGCTGTACGAAAGAGCCAGGGAGCAGAGTCACTGAAGGACATAGAAATCCAGGCTGTGGTGGCTAAAGCATTCAAGGAATCACAAAGACTTTTGTGCTACCGCAGCAGCTAAGGGAGATGACCATGCCACATCTTAGGAAAAATAGCACAATCACATTTACATACACACCTGTTGACGGGACCAAAACAATTTTAAGAACGGTCAAGGCTCACCCCCACTCCCGGTCTGTTTTTTGGGGGAGGGAGAGTTGGGCATGTGACAGTGTAAATATATATTTTTTATTACATTTTTAAGCAGTGGCTGATTTTGATACTCTCTTCTGAAAACCCACTGTATTAAAATTGATGCCACTTTTTTTTTTTTTACACAAGTTTTATTGTATTGTTTTGTACATATTTAGAAAATAAATTTAAAATATGCTAGTTTTAAAACTTAGCAACATGTCTTGATTAAAATAGCCTAAATATAGTTTTTGGACTAATCTTTAGGTTACCTGTAGCTATAGCAGATTGCCCTCTAAATCTTTTGAACTGCCCTTTGTGTGTGTGGGTAAGAATCAGGAGAAGTTCCAGCTTCACACTGATCTGTGAAAAGCCATAAAATAGCATGGGTTCAGGCCAGTAGAGGAGAAGCTCTGCTTTCACTTTGTTTAGATAAAGGTGACAACTGATGTTTGATCTTGAAAACAAATTGTAGGGAGTTTCTAACTTTTAAGAGGTTCCGAGACAGCTTGTGATTGGATGAGCAAAGATACGCCTTATTTGAATAAATTAAAGACAAGAATACACCTTTACTTTAAAAGTTTGTGCACGTGAGGAACACATGAGGCTTGGTGGCTAGTCAGAGACAAATAGTTGAAGCCAAAATGGCCCCAAGAATTCATTTTTCTTGCACTTTTCTTACTCCATCATTAATGCAGCGAAACTTTGGGGTCATGAATGGCATAAGAAGTCTACTCGTTTTTTGTTTTTTTCAGACTCATTCAGGTCTCAATCTAGCATCAGTTCCAGGTTCGAGCGGCTCTCATTCCAGTAACTTAGAACATTGTCGATGTTCGGTCACTTTCTTCAAAATTCTGACTCTTCAGATTCAGAAATTCATCCAACTTCAACTCCACCGTCTTCTTCAATAATATCCAACCTACTCCCCTGTTCCATTTCTTCAAGCACAATCCTTCATTCATCCATGCTTTTCAGGTATCATCATTCATAGTTAGAACATTCAGACATTACTCTTCAGAGAAGTCAACAGATCAGTTTGCTGTCTCATCCATTTCGTCTCTTCTGTCCTCATTCCATCCTCAACCCATGTGAGCCTACTTTTATGTTCACATCAGAATTTCAGCTAGTATTTCATCTCAAGGTTCACGCCTCATCTGAGAATCCTGTAATCCAGCCACTTAAGTCTGGTTCTCCGGCCATTTCAGTCTAGCTCTGTGAAGATCAGACATCTCTCTCAAATTTTATTCTGCCTCTTCTCTTTTGCATCCAGTCAGGCTATCTCCGATCAGATGACTCAAGTTCGAGTTCACTGGTCATCACAAGCTTACCGTTCATGCATCCACAACAACCTTGGGGATTTATTACAAGCTCATTCTTTTCTCTGTTCAATTTAAATCAGACTCTTTTGGGGATCCTATGTTGGCTCAGGGAAAATAAGAGGAACTGTTTCCTGAAGACCCGGGGCCTCATGCATAAAAGACTGCACAGTTTTTGACACTAAAACTTGGAGTACGGAAAAATTTAGAAAAGTGCGGCGCACAAAAAAAATCTGATGCATAAAGCCGTGCGCACCCATGTGGCCACGTACCTCTCCTTAATAAATCCTAATTTGTGGGAAATAGAGCCGCCCTGTCGCAACCCACAAATACATATGTAAGTAAATTAGTATAAATACCCGGAAGTCTGCCACCACATGAAGCAATAACCATGGCGACGTGCTTGTTTGAAACTGTATAAGTATTTACAATAATAATAATTTTATATTGTATTTAAAAGGTGCTTTGAGGGCACATAATGTCACCTCACAAAAATAAAAATACATTTTAAAGAAAAAAAAATCCAAATTTAAAAAATACAAAATAAAGAGATCCTGTTAGAACAGCAGCGCGTTCAGCCGGGATTTAAAGACAGAGTCAGAGGGTCATTTGAGTGGGAATGTGGACGTTTATTCTAAATAGTAGAACCAAGTTGTACATTTACAGAATAAAGATGCTTTATGTCCATAAGGCGCATTCACAAAGCGGGCAGCTCGACTGAAGGATGGCTGCAGCTGGACCAGTACCGGTACCAGTACTGGTACCGCTCGGCTCCTTCTTTAGGTTTTGCTCAGAAATCCAGGATGATCAGTCAGAGCAATCTAAACACTATTAAACCACCATCATCATTTCCCAGCAGATCAATATGATCTCTGATCAATCCTCCCTCTGAATCCTTCCTTTGGGGATGTTCTCCATCAGAACCAAAGGGCTCCACAATTACGCGGCTCACCTTTATGTAGCTACTTATATACGTGTGATTGCATACAAACCTTGATCACATTAAAAATAATCAAACCTGTTGATTATTTTTAATCAGTAGGTTTGAGTTAATCTGCTGGTCCAACCCTGTTGTCTTCTTTTAGTGAGAATGAAATTACCCCGCAGATGCAATTCATGCGCTTCGGCTAACGGACCAATGTGTTACACCTTTATGAGACAAAAACTGAGGAAAAGTACTATTTACATTCGAGAGAGGTTTTCACATACTTCTGTTTCTATTTTCTTTATTTTGTGTGCGTGTTACCTTATTGCCTGAGGATAAATGCGGTTCAGTTTCATTGTTTACGTTTAAGGAATAAAATATTAAAATCATGAAAAACATCGATTTGGTGCTTCTTGGTCTAAATAACACCGAATGTAGTCAGACTTCAGTGTATTTAGGTGAGTTTTGACGCTTTGTAGTTTGATATTGTTCACAGAAAAAGTTTGCGTGGCTGCCGCACATTTTCACGCCAGCAAAAAAGTGTGCGTATATTTACGCAAACCTTGACGCAAAGTTCATTTTTATACATGCCGACTTTTGTATAAAATATGGGACCACACTTTTTCTGTGCGCACGCAGGCTTTATGCATGAGGCCCCAGAGCCCCACTCAGTCTTCATTTCCCAAGCCCTCCATCATTCTCCCAGATAACCAAATTAAGATCATTCATCCCTTCACCCCTCATGAAGGGGTCGGGGGGAGAAGGGATCCCTTCGTCCCTCCTCCCATTCACCCCTTACCATCTCCCTTACCATCCCTCTCCCTCTCATCCTTTATCATATCTTTGTGGCGTGATCCTTGCTAATGAAATAGAAAAAAAAATAAAAAATCAAACCTCTTCAACTTCATCTCTCAGTAAATACTGATGGACCATCAGTATTCCTGGCTACCATTACAGCATGAAGACTAAAGAACACGCCAGCCAATCAGAGACAAGGTCACAGAGAAGTACAAATCAAAGGATGAATATAATAAAAAAAAAAAAAAAAAAAAAACATCTGCTGGAATTTAATTCAATCCATCTTCAATCTGCCTAGATCAGGCTGTCCTCACAACCTGGGGGACCCTTAAGAAACTTAAAAGGTGCTGTTTTTTTTTTTTTTTTTGGTTCATGTCATTCTGCTTAGGGACAATCGATGTGCCTCCTATGCTCATGAGCAAATTTAGTGAGAAGAAATTTCCATCAAACAGGGTTCCAAAACAATCTCCATTAACCTTTTGTGAGGAGTGCTTTAATTTATTGATATCTCAAGAACAAACACATAAAACAGAATTCATCAACCTGCAATTAACTTGAACAAAGAACAAGATTTCATTATTTTTCAAACAGGTAGAAGGAGTTGAAAGGACCAGTCAAATATTTGATTGAAAGAAAAATTGGAAAAGGTGGTTATGGCCATCCGCTAATAAAACCTTTGACTTAACACAAATTTTCTACAAATCAGAAGTTCATAAGAATTATATTTCTGTTGAATCTACACTTTTTAAAAACAACATGAATTCAACAGTTTTCTTCAATGTATTTAGTGTATGATTGTACTTTGACATGGAGCATTTATCTCAACCAACCTGTAGGTGTGAATTGATGTTACCACACCATTCCTGAATAAATTTTACCAAACAAATAGAGTTGGGATGATGTTCAAAAGTCAACACTTAAGCAAAAAAACAAAAAAAAAAGGTTATTTTTTAAAATGCTTTCTGGGCACAGAGCTGCCTCATTTTATCTAATGAAGGAAGGACAATACGAAGACTGTCTGGTGATGTGGAAGAAAAAAAAAGTGTGGTCACAACTTAATATCTTGTGCCCATGACTTAATTAATACATGGCCATGAGTTATAATTAAGTCGTTCCCATGAGATATTGCAGATGTGAATTACCATAGCTTTTGGTGTAATCTGGTACAGTGCAGATTATACGATTTATATTCGAGTTGTACATTGTCCCTTTAGTTGATTACCATTAAGCTGTGGTTATAAGATATTAAGTCAGGGGTGAAATTTCTAAAAATGTCAGACAAGTTCAGTCAAAAATGGACTTATTCAGCTTCAAACTCTCATTCCAGCATTACGATATGTCAGTAAAGAGGAAAAAATGTAAAAGAAGCCCCACCAACCCCAAAAGATAAGGGTAGCAGGGCAAAAAACATTTTGATAACGCATAATCATCCAGTACTCTCATCTACTCCTATAAAAGGCATTAAATATATATTCAGTTTTTCTTATGGATAGGTCTGTACCTGCAGAACAAACAACATTAGATAAACAATTTCTGAGTCAGTAAAAAAATCGTTTGAAAGAATTTCTCTGAGTAATAGGAATAGTGTTTCTTCAGCTCTGGAGAAATATAATGCACAAAGCATCAATTTTACATAAACTAGGGTTTTATTCCACCACACAAAGATAATGAAATCCACAATCCCGCTGTGAAAAGCAAGTGTTACAAGATGTTCAAGAAAGTGCTTGGAAACCTGAAACGCCCACCTGTAAACACGCCGCGGCTCAATAATGATGCACTTCCTTCAGGAATCAAGCATCCAATCTTCGACGTAAATATAAAATGTGAAAACAATGCCTCAGCTCCGCTGAAGCGCAGAGGTCTTATAGCAGCACACGTCTTTCTGTCGAAGCCTTATGAACAGTAACATGTTCAAGCTCCTCAAATAAACAACAATGTGCAGATTTTGTGATTTTAGTGACATTTTTTGACTGGATTTTTTGATTAGATTGAATTAATTTAAATGAAAAGTGATTAAAAGCTCCAACTACACAATACCTGGCTCAGGTTGGACATGGACATGCACTTAAAGTCGACAGCTGGACAAAATGAATCAAAGAAGTGGTGAGAAAACATGTTTCTTTTAATTGAAACAGTACAAACTGTAGCTTACATGCATTTATAAAGTAAATAAAGTGCACCAAGTACCCTGCTCTGAATAGTCTGATACATTTTTAACCTTGACACTTAACATCTGAAGGAATCACTCTAAGCCTGATGACCTAATCACTCTCCTGGTGAAGCAAGCAGTGAGTGAGCAAGGTGACAGTTGGATGTTACGATACTTGCAATATCGATATTATACTGCCCTACTTCATAGCCCTACCAGTCTGCAGGTGTTGGTTTTGGATGCTGCACTGCTGGTATCAGTTGGTGGAAATGACTGCAAGCCTCGGCGCATTGTGTTCGGTGTGTAGTAAACCTACTGCAGCATATGTGGGGTTTTTTCCACAGACCTGCTATGAAAGCTCCTGAGGGAGGTTTTGATGTCTTCCTGTCTCTGTGTCTGGGTTTCTTATGAGTCTGTGTAATGTTTGCAGCCAGATATGCTTTTTTAGTTTATAGGTGTGTCTCCGTGAACATCTAGTTGAATCTCGGGGCACTCCTGCTGCTACTGTGTCTGTCTGCATGTGTCTGTGTATGCGTGCATGTGTGTGTATGTGTGTGTGCGTGTGAAGCAGTGCATATCAGCAGTGTGCTTGATCAGCAGTCCTGCTGCTATCCCATTAACTCTGCTGCTGCAGGGCATGTGCGACCCAGAGGACCCGAGGTAGCAGCAGGGCTCGGTGAAGTCATTTCCATTCAGCCGTCTCACTCCTGCCAGCTCACTGCTGCACCAAATCTGAGTAAGGATATGAGGGGGAGGCTAAACTGACAGATGATCTAGTTTTTAAATGGTAAAAGGACAAAACGATAACAGAGTTTAAGAAACTGGAAAAGAGAAATCCTTTAAACATATATCGATCTGATTAAATTATTTTAGTAAAGAAAAAAAAAGTATTATAAAATCTTACCATTTTGATGATTCACAAAGTCTTTTTAAGAAAAACTATTGCAGCAATTTGGAAGTATTACAGTATGTGCATTTTACAAAATAATGCAATTGAGAGCTAAAACAAATCTTAGTGTATAGTCTTAATCCAGCCCAAGATCAAGTTATCTTATAAATGTGTTGGAATATTTAAGGGTATTAAAATATACTTAACATTGAAGCATTTTTTTTGCAAATTAATACATAAATCATTACGAGCAGGCAATAAAGCAAAAAAAGAAAGATAAAAAGAAAAGATTATAAAATATTTATGAACAAAAAATTAGCAGTTGGGCTGCTTTTTATATTACACCAAAATATCAACAGCTGGATTGCCATAATACATTTTCCCAACAGAAAACAGAAAATTTCACCCTTATTTAAGATTCAGTCATTACCTTGGCACAGCAACTCATCTGTTAATGACAGATGTCAGAATGACCAACATACTTTGCTTTGTCTGAGGCCTCACTCTCCTCCAGACCTTAATTAATTTCAGTCATTTGCAACAGTTGGGGGTAATTAGGTCGCACCTTACAACTCTAATCTCTGCCGGCTGAAGTTGAAATAGCTCTAATTAGCTGCTGTCATTTTAAAATAGGTTTTGATTAGTTTATTCACATGAAATCTGGGTAACTGCAGTACGGCGCAATTTCCGATGCATCCAACTTCTTCACTTTTACTGTTCAAAATCAAAATACTGTTTTTGCCTGGAAAACACAGGTTAAAGGAGTATTTCATCAGGTTTGCATTAAGTGGGACAATAAAAGGTGTGATCAAACTATAGACCCAGGTGGGCTGGGATCATGACGTTCTAATGATAAGACACCATGATTTTGCAAACTCATTAGCTGGTAATACAGCTAAGCTAATTAGCTTGATCCAGTGTTTTTCA